TGGGAGAGTTCCCCCTGACGAATTAGGCGCTCGATGGCTTTCTTCAGCGTGATGCAGTTGTCGGTGTTGTGTGAGGCATTCTTGTGGAACCGGCAGTAGGTACCGCCTTGCTGGATGGCATGGACTTCCTCCGACGGCTGAGGAGCTTGTTCAATGAGGCCGTGCTTCTCGGCATAGTCGAGGATGGTGCTGACCGGGTGTGTAAGGGGGGGCCCCGGCCGTTCCAACCTCGACCGCCAATGGCGGCCTTTCTTGCTTTGTCCACCAGAGCCGTGACGGCCCTGGGCACCCTGGCCGGCCGGGGATGCTCTCGGGGCCGGCGAAGGATTTGTCTTCTTGGAGGGGTGGCCTCCGTCCTTCTTGTGGTTGTGGAGCTCGTCGGCATCGGCGTACAAACTCCCGCGCTGAAGCGCCTTTGCATACAACCTCGGAGGGTCGGTGATGAGGCTCCTGACATACGGGGAGCTGCGGAGGGCTCCCTGGCAGAGGACAAGGAGGGTGCGCTCATCGGCCCCCTCGACCTCTTCGGTCTCCCTCGTCCACCGATCAATGCATGACCGGAGGGGTTCGTCATGTTGCTGCTTGACGGAGAGGAGATGGGTGAAGTACTTCTTCGCACGCTTCCTCCCGGCAAAGTGGGTGAGGAAGCGCTGGGCAAGGTCCTACCATGAGTCTATACTTCCTTCGGGAAGCGCGTTGAACCACTCGTACGCCGGCCCCTCAAGAGTGGAGAGGAACCAACGACAGAGGTATTCATCCGACGCGTTCACCATCAGCATGTTGTTCTGGTAGCGGCTGAAGTGCTCCTGGGGGTCTGATCGGCCGTCATAGGACTTCATGGCGTTTCCCCTGTACTTCTCCAGGATGGCAGCCGAGAGCACCCTGTTAGTGAAGGGAGTCCTGGTCCTGACCTGGATGACGGGGTCACCTCGTCCTTCGGCCAATTCCCTCTCAAGGGCGCTGCCCTTGTTCATGAGTGCATTGAGTCCAGGATCGTTGGAGGCGTCGGCCATGGGAATGTTCGCCAATTGTCTGGCCTCCATCTGGGCCAGCCTCCTTTCCAGCTGGGCAATAACCTCATCCCGAGGGTCCTTGGCGGCCGTAGTGGCGCCCTGTTGGTTTCGTATGCGGACCTCGTGGGCCGTGTTGATCTGATGGTGCACGTCGTCCTCGTGCAGCTTTCCCTTGCCTTTGTTCAGGTGGGGCTGGTCCGCTGTCCGGGGCACAGACCACAGGCTTTCCCTTGGCGAGCCAGACCGGCGCTCACAATTCTGTCCCGCCATCCTCTCCGAAACCGGACGACGGCGCGTGTCACCCAGCCTATTGAAGGCAGAGGCTTTCCCACGCGCTGGGGTTGGTCCGGGCCGAAGAGGGAAAGCAGGGTGGGAGTGGGACAACGCCGTGTCCTGGGCTATCACCCCCTCATCGTTGCCTAGCTTGATGGCCAACGGTTGGGGATGAGGAGGTGGGGTGACGTTCCCCCCAGGCCTTGGCATTAGTGCACTGAGGACGGTGGGGTTCTGAGCCAAGCTGGCGATGATGACCGATAGTGCGGCCTGAACCTGTGGGTCAACAGACGGAGAAGCCGTGGCCAATGGTTGGGTCGGGGCGTTGTATGCCTTCTCTGCGCGCTTCTTATCCGAGCCGATGCGGGCATCAGGGACGCCGCCGTTGAGCTGGTTGCACATGTCCGTCGTGAGGTTGATGGCCTCCTGGAAGACATCCCCTCCTCCGACCTGGTCGGCCGTGGCGTCCTCCTCGCGCTCCCTGTTCTCCTGATCCTCAGGGATGACCTTGCTGACGAGGTTGTTGTTTGACCTAGTTCTTCCCATGATCAGTGGTCAGCGGTGCTTGGTAGCGACGAAGGATGCTAACTTGATTGTTCTAGCTCTCAACGAGAGCACCAAATGATCGAGTAAATGCAAGTAAATGATAGAGTATATTCTAGAGAGAGGTGAGAGCTAGAGAGAGAAGTGCAAGTAAATGCTTCAATAAATGATTTTCCAACCCCTACAACTACCTCCAGAGGAAGTATTTATAGGGAAAATACGGACTGGGCTCCCAAGCCTTGAGCTTGGGAGGCCCATTTACAACTGGACCGCTATTGGGCTGAATACAACGTGTGTAGAAATGATTAAGTATAAAATCTAGTTTTGTGAGGCTTCTGTGGCCGACGAGGGTCTGGATGACGAGGGCACGGCCGATGAGGGTATGGCCGACGAGGGCACCCAAGTTCCCTGGCCTCAGGATCATATTCTGAGTTGGTCCCTCTTCGGCCGTCGGGGATCCCTTGGCCGACAAGGGCGCCACCTGGTAGCTTGTTCTTTCTGTTCTTCTGAGTATGTGGGTCCTGGGGCCTAGACCCATATACTCCATCAGGACGTGTAAGGAATAATTGTATTTAACTTTTGATGATGCTAGATTAGTTAGGATATTAGAGTACCCTCTTTAGAATTTTGTATTAGATTTTTTTAGTGTAAGCTCTTTAGTATAGTTGACTGGATAGAAGACCCCAAGGTCCTCTGTTAGCCTCTATTCTGACAGAAGTGCACGTGGCTCTCTGTGAGTTTGTGACTGCCCCTCTGTTCAAGCGCATCAGAAGACCTCACACTTAGAAGTTTTCTTAAGCCGGTGAAACCAACGGAAGATTCCCTCAACGACTTGGAGACTTCAACGGAAAAGTTACAGTACAAGCATTTAATACTCATTTAATGAGCTCCATACTCTGTGGAGTTAAAGCTGATGATTGGAAGACATTCCAGGAGCATATTGTCCAAAAATAGTAACTTGCCCACCTTGCGGGTCCCAACCGGTCAACTCCACTGTATGCGCATTTAATGCAGTTGTCCTCCTCCTCTAACGGGAAGATAACCCTAGTATGATACAACATGAAGAACAACCGAACAACTTTTGCTCCTCCCACATCATTCAAAAAGCTTTCTTGAGATCATAAACTCATCTTCCTCAACAAGAAAAGCCTATGTTGGAAAGATATTACTTTCATATCCTCCATTCCAACAAGAGCAAAGTTCCTAAAGTTCTTCAACACTTCAAGCACTTCATATACACATCCTTTGTGACGAAGCAAGTTAGAGAAACCTCTGTTTTAACAAGTATTCTTCATTCACAAGAAGGGCGTCCAAGTAACTGGAGTAGTGAAGTGGGTATACTTCAAGGAAACTCAGTAAAAGGACCAGTCTTAAAGGAAGCAAGGAAGTGCATCACATGAGACATCTACGCTTGAAGAAGACGTGGAGAGCTTCTTAAGTGCTAGGACTAAGGTTGTGTAATCTGCGTTTTTACAAGCTTAGTGGAACAGTGGATTAGAGGAACACGTCGTTCCTTGAACCACTATAAAAATCCCTGGTGTCATTTACTTACTGCTTTTAATACTTGCGTTTACTTTAAACTGATTAACTCCAAAAGATTTGGTCTCTGTGTTCAGCATAACTAGTCTTGTGAGTTAACAGAAGGCATAGTGTCTTTGCTTCTCTGTGAGGCTAACCAGACAGAACCCCTACCAGAAGATCATCCGCTGCCAGTCTGTTCTGTGAACAGAACATGCTATTCTGTTAAGTCTGGTATTTAGCGTGAAAAACTTAAAAACCAGTACAATCTATTCACCCCCCTAGATTTTACCTTGTATAATCGGGACCAACAAGTGGTATGAGAGCCTCCTTGTTCTTGTAATCCTTTAGGTTACCTGTTGAACAAAGATCCACTTGTTTATTAGCCTTTATCTGTTTTATACTATGGATAACTCTCTCTTCAAGTACCTTATGTTTTCAGATCTCAAGTTTGATGATTGGAGGATCCGAATGAAGGCACATCTTTGTGCTCTTCATGATGAGACGTGGGAAGTTCTTGACCTAGGGCCATTCACCAACTTCGAGAAGGTGAATCCTGAACATGCAATTGATAACACAAGGCCACACATGATCAACAAAGCCAAATCTGAGTGGACCACTGAAGAAAGAAGAAAGTACAATCTTGACAACATAGCAAAGGACATTCTCTACAAGTCCATTGATGATAGATACTTCAACAGGATCAAAAAGTGCAAAACTGCTAAGGAAATATGAGATACTCTTGAGCTCATAGGAGCTGGTGATGAGCAAAAGAAGGACAATAAACTGACAATAGCCAACAAGAAGTTTGATCACTTCAAACTTCTTCCTGGTGAAAGCATCTCCAAAATGTATGACACACTACTCACTCTCACTGGAGAGATTTCTGAACTTGGCAAAAACTCACCACCAAGGAGATCAACCTCAAAGTACTAAGAGGTTTGCCCTCAGCATGAAAGATGAAAGTGGTTGTTGTTCAAGCAAGCAAGAATGTGAAGACTTATCCAACAGACAAGCTCATCTCAGACCTCAAAGCTCATGAGTTCGAGATGATTGAAGAGAAGGAAGATGTACCAGAAGAGGGGACCACCACAGCTCTCACAGCCAGAACATCTAAGGTAAATGATTTTGAACCCTGTGTATTATTATCTGACGAATATATGGCTGCTTTTGCCAGAAGATTCAAGAGGTTCGTGAAGAACCCCAAAGATGGAAGGAGTCCATATGCCAGCAGAAAGCCATTTCAGAAGACCAAGTCCTCTGACAGTAGTGGAGAGCTTCTCTGCTACAACTGCAGGCAGCCAGGACATTTTAAGGCAAACTATCCACATCCCAGAGTGTCCAAGAGACAAGGACAGGATGGAGAAAAGAAGTATAAAGATACTGGTAGAAGAAGGAAGGCACTCATCACAGAATAATTCGAGAAGGACACCCTCTCTGAGACAGAATTCAGTTCTCACTCTGAATCTGATGAAGCCTTCTGTTGCCTTGATACTGAAACAGAAGACATATGCCTCATGGCTCAATCTGATGATGAGGTAACTTCCTCCTCTAACTCTCATTTTTCTTCGGTAGGCACAACTTTAAATGATGACCCAATGTAATCATTGTGGGAAGAGTTTAAAAATATCCAATCCACTTATACTTTAGTCAAAGAAGAAAACTGTAAGCTGAAAGTTGAAATCTTGACTTAAGAAAAGAGACTGGGGTAAAACTTAATCTCAAAGGAATGAATATGTTGCGCGGCACACCATGCCGCCGGTGGAGGGTCAAGGACCGGAGGGAGAGCATCCAAAGCTGTCATACGCCGCAGCGGTAAGGGAATCTATCCCCAGCCGACGCGTACACTCCCAAGCGCGTTTATTCTCTGACGCTGACCTCACGGGATTCAAGCTCAAATCTTTGGGTTCGTTCAAAGGCTTCCCGTCGATTTCATTCTCAGATGAAGATATCCAGGTTTTCTCAACTAAATCTCGTTACGCGTTGGTTGGTACCTTCACCGACGGATGACCCCCTTTTCCGGCGATTCGAAAGGCCTTTGAGAAACTAAGGTTCTCGCAACCCTATACCGTAGGCCTTCTCCAATCGCACACTGTGTTGATCAATTTTAAATCTGACTCTGATTTTCAACGATTCTGGAATAAAAGAACTTGGGACTTCTTTGGATTCAAGATGTCACTCACCAGATGGACCCCGTCCTTTTCCGATGAACGTGACTCTCCTCTAGCCCCCATCTGGGTCGCACTTGAAGGCCTCCCGATTCATTTTCATGACACTAGGGCTATTTTTTCTATTGCCTCCATTCTTGGCAGACCACTTCACATTGATGCCCCAACCTCGAATTTTTCCAGACCATCCACCCCAAGAGTATGCATTGAAATTGACATTTCAAAGGCACTACCCTCAAAAGTCTGGATTGGTACCAGTGAAGGTGGCTTTTTTTAGAAGCTTAAGTATGAGAATATCCCTGATTTTTGTATGACATGCTCGCGGTTTGGACACACAGAGTGCCCCCGAGTTAGGTCTTTGAAATCTGAGATAACTAAAACTACTTTGGCAAATGATTGTGTTAGAGTCCCTATATCCACTGATGCTATTATTTCCTGTGAAGAAGTAGCGGTTCCAACAGGTACTAAAACTGTTGACCCAATTGTGATGCATTCCGTTCATAGTCTTGATAATGCATTTACTACTGAAGTGGTTGCCTGTGATGAAGTATTTGTTTCAACTAGTTCTGAAAGTGTTGCCCCAGTTGAGAATGACTCAGTTCATAATTCTGATATTGTTGTTTTTGCACCCTCTGCCCCCGTTAATACTGTTAACGCACAAGAAGCTTCTATTACAGTGTGTGGTGCTTCAAGTGCCCCTGTGTCCCCTGTTCAGCCTTGTGCTTTTCAGGTTACTGGTTCTAATTGTTCTGTTGGCTCCGGTTTAACAGGCCCCTTTGATGCCTCTGCAAAGATTTCTGGTATACAAAATGCCCCTGGTACTATGGTTGTTGATTCTATTCTTAGTGCATTGGCAGTAAATACTGACACAGCAGAACAAGTTGTTTCATGTGCAACCGGTGATGCTAAACTACCTGACTTAGATGTTTTAGCTGAGGATCTGAGTATCTTAGCTATTACTTCTGTGGAAACCGATAAAGTTGTCTCAAATGATAAGGCTCATGCTGCTTCTGTTAATGATCTAGCTACAGGTCCCATTATGCTGGCAACAGTCCACTCTGAGGCCCCTATGGATTAAGGATGCATTGTGGCTGCATCAGACCACACAAAGGTCCCCGCTGATGCTATTAATTGTGATGAGAATACTGTCCAACACTCTGTGGATTTGGATGAAACCCCGGTGGCCACCCTTCATGTGGCGGTAACCGGAGGAATTCATCATCTGATTGCCTGTGATGCTAGCAAAAAAATGTCTGAGGACCGAAATGGAAATGATGAGATCCTCTCTGATCCAATGAGTGACTTTGCAGTTACTACACCTGTCCCGATATTGTCCAGTGATGAAACTACTTCTGAGGACACCCAAATGCTAACCTTTTCTGTTTCAGGTCATACAAAATTCAATGAGGAAAATAACGAAGGATTTACACAGGTTCAAAGAAGAAGAAACAAATACACAAACTCAGCAGCTATAGAAGGAGCACAACTATTCTACCACGTGGGATATAGCTCTCATCCAATGATTACCAGAAGTCACTCCAAAAGACCACAAAATGAGGATGACTACTTTATGTATCCAGTAGATCAAAGATTCGACTCCCCACATAAACTAGCGGTGGCTCTCAAATGATTTAAAAATTCACATCCAGAAGCGAAAACCTACTAGCCCTAACTGCAAAAGGCTATCAAGTTTCATAACAAGTTTAACAGATCCATTTCTGCAACACTTGGAATTCCTTGGTCTAATTTCAACCGTTGATGTATTTCAATTTTCTTGTATGGGTTATTTCCTTTGTACATGCTACTTTTAATTAATAAAAAAAGGAGGTGTTCCCCGGCGCCCCCACCACCCCAAGTGGTTGACCGGGATTAAAAAAAGTTGAAAATGTTTCTCTTCTTAACAGAATAAGAGAAATTCAGCATTTTGAGGTCAGACTCAATAGCATTATGAAAATGCAAACTTCTCTAAAGGTTGTTGATATTGATCAAATGCTCTCCCCTGTTTCTGGTCTTGGATATGTTGCAACAGAATCCGGTGAGCCTTCTGTAAGGCCTGACACCCAATTTGCTAAGGTTGATAAGGTCATAGAGCCACGAACCTCTAGCCCCATTTGCCATGTTGGTGTATTTGGCAATAAGGTTGTTCATGAGGAAGTAAGACCAGAAAATAAAAAGATAAAGGTTCAACAAAAACCAGTTTTGAAAATTAATGAACCTGACAGAAACCCCAACAACAGAAAGGGGTTTTAGAAAAATAATAAAAGGCAAACCTTCAACAGACACCCTCTTGATAATCGTGCTAGAAATGATCATCAGAAGGGCAGGTATCAAGAGAAAGTTAACTTTAGGCAGAAGAGGTTAGCTGGTCAACTTCAGAAGCCCAAAGGTAACCGCCCCTCTGCTCTTGATAGTATATGGAACTTTTTCCCAACCAAGAAAGGTATGCAAAAATATGTAAACAAAAAGCATGACTCTCACAAGCATCTGCCCAAACTGAATCACACTTCAGTTTACTATGACTACCAGGTGGACAATGGGTATCACCCACCAAGGTTTCACTTGACCAAAGTGGTACCAACTGCCAAGACTTCATGACCCCCTAGGACCCAACATTGCGTGGGTACCTAAATTTTCTTTTTAATTCTGCATGAATAATGTGCTGGAGTTATCTCTGAGCAAGAATGGTTTATTGATAGTGGATGCTCCCAGGCACATGACTGATGACAGAAGTTGCCTAACAGAGTTTCAGAAAGTAAATGGACCTAGAGTTACCTTTGGTGGAAATGACAAGGAAGGTCAGACAAAAGGAAAAGGGAAGCTGATCAAGAACCAGATAACCATTGATGATGTCTCTTATGTCAAAGGCCTAAAGTTCAACCTACTGAGTGTTAGCCAGTTCTGTGACAAAGGCTACACAGTTGAATTCACAAAAGACTTCTGTTATGTAAAGCATGAGACAACAGAGGAAGTGGTTCTTACAGCAAAAAGGAAAAAGAACATTTATGTTGTTGATTGGAATACTGCAAAAGATAGTGTTTGCCTGATAGCCAAAGGAGATTCAAAACTAAGCTGGGATTGACACAAGAAGCTTAGCCATTTTAATTTAAAATCAATCAACAAACTGGCAAGAGAACACATTGTAGATGGACTCCCAGACATAGTGTATAAAAAGGAGACCCTCTGTAGTGCATGTCAGAAAGGAAAACAAATGAAGAACTCTTTCAAACCTATTGCTAGAAATCTTTCCACTAGTCTCTTAAATCTCATTCACATGGATTTATTTGGACCAGTTGAGACTCCAAGTGTTGGTGAAAAGAAATACACACTAGTCATGGTTGATGACTACTCTAGATATACATGGACAGTCTTCTTGACAAAGAAGAATGAAACACTTCAGAAGTTGCCATCTCTGTTAAAGCAACTTCAAACTGAAAAGAATATGAAAGTCAGGACAATCAGGGCTGACAGAGGAACTGAATTTGTGAACTAGGTCATTAAGGACTTCTGTGATCAAAATGGAATTTCTCATCAACACTCTGCTGCCAGAACACCTCAACTGAATGGCGTGGCAGAAAGGAGAATCAGAACACTAAAAGAAGCTGCAAGGACAATGATTGCTGAATCAGGACTACCAATGAGATACTGGGTTGAAGCAATCAACACTGCATGCTACACCCAGAACAGAAGCATGATCAACAAGAATCACCAGAACTTGGTTAAGAGATCATCCACCAGACCAAGTGTTTGGTCTAATCAGAAGTGGTGTGCAGACCAGATCTGTTACAACCAGAAGAGAAGCAATGTTTGCCTACTACATATCTCAGATGGAACCTATGATGGTGGAAGAAGCTCTACAAGATTCAGACTGGATCAATTCAATGCAAGAAGAGCTTACCCAATTCGAAAGGAATAAAGTATGGGAACTTGTTCCAAGACCAAAGCACCAGAATGTCATTGGAACCAAGTGGGTGTTCAAGAACAAAGCAGATGAAGAAGGCAACATTGTAAGGAATAAAGAAAGGCTGGTAGCTAAGGGATACTGCTAATAAGAAGTAATTGATTTTGATGAAACCTTTGCACCAGTTGCAAGACTTGAGGCGATCAGAATCTTCCTGGCCTATGCTGCCTACAAAAACATCAAGGTCTACCAGATGGATGTCAAGAGTGCATTTCTGAATGGAGATCTTGAAGAGGAAGCTTATGTGGAACAATCACCATGTTTTGTCATTCCTACTAGATATTCTTATGTCTATAAGCTTAGAAAGGCTCTTTATGGTCTTAAGCAAGCTCCCAGAGCATGATATGACACACTGCCCCTCTTCCTAATGAACCATGGGTTCACTAAGGGAAACGTTGATTAGAATAATAATAATAATAATAATTATTATTATTATAATTTAAAAAAAGGGGAAAGGTTGACAAAACTCTATTTCAAATCTATGTTGCTAATCATATTCTGCTAGTACAAATATATGTTGATAATATTATATTTGGAAGTACTAATGCAGAACTATGCAAGAAATTTTCTCAAGTTATGCAGAGTCAGTTTGAAATGAGTATGATGAGAGAACTGAGCTACTTCCTAGGACTATAAGTGAAACAAGTTTCAGAAGGAATCTTTATCAACCATGGGAAGTGCACCAGAGACCCGATCAAGAAGTTTGGAATTGAAGGAAAAGCCTTAGTGAAGATTCCCATGAACACCTCACACGGAATTGGACCGGATGATGAAGGAAAAGATGTTGATGCAAAGATGTACAGAGAAATAATTGGATTTCTACTGTATCTAACTGCATGCAGACCGGATATATCCTTTTCTGTTGGAATCTGCGCCAGATACCAATCAAAGCCCAATGAGAGCCATCTAAGTGCTGCAAAAAGAATCATGACATATATCAAAGGAAATCTAAATTCAGGCCTATGGTATCCCAAAGGAGGTAACTTTGAACTAATTGGTTACTCTGACTGAGATTTTGCAGGTTGCAGATTAGACAGGAAGAGCACCTCTGGTCACTGCCAACTGCTACGTGGGAGATTTGTCTCTTGGTTTAGCAAGCAGAACTCAATCTCAACAAGCACAACAGAAGCAGAATATATTGCAGCTGAGAGTTGTTGTGCTCAACTTCTCTGGATGAAACAACAACTTAAGGATTATGGAATTAATGCAAAGGAGATCACGCTGCTTTGTGAAAACACTAGTGCCATTGCAATCACCAAAGAATCCGGTACTTTATTCCAGAACCAAGCACATAGAGATCACACATCACTTCATCAGAGATCATGTGGAGAAGAAGCACATCTGTATGGAGCATGTACCAACAGAACATCAACCTGCACACATTCTCACAAAACCTCTTAGTGAGATAAGGTTTAACAAGCTGAGAGAAGAGCTGGGAATGATGGATGATATCCCCAGAGATACTTGAAGGATAAACTCTCTGTGACAGAACACCTCCTCTGTTTTCAGAAACCTTCTGTACCAGAATCCATTCGTAGCAGAACCCCTCAGCGACATAGACCCTCTCTCTCACGGAAGGTTGTGAACTTGGCCAAATTTGAAAAACCGACTGACCTAGTTACTTATTGAAGGTCTTTTACTATACCCTTGAAAGTTATCACAGCCGCAGAATATTTACTGCACCCCTTTTTTATTTATTGATATCTCGAAACCGCCAAATATCTCAAACGTTCACTAACCCAAAACCATATATTCCTCACTCTTCAACCTAAATCGCTACTGCATTCATCTCTCTCTAGAATTCAAACCTCCACATCTCTCAAATCTCTCAGAACTTCCTAATCTTCTCCAATGGCGTTCATGAGTTTCGAATCTCTCACCAAATCTCAGAAAGATACTTTGACCAAGAACGTTCTCACAGGGATGAAGTGCGACCTTTATGCACTCCCAAAGCTTATTGAGGATGATGAAATGGTGGCAAGAATACTGGAATGCCTCGAAGGTTTACAGCTAAGCAAAGTAATCACCTATAACTACACGCAGTACATCAACATGGATGTCATTAAGTTTTACCTCAATGCCGACTACATTGATGAGGTCATCGCCTGCACTGTAAATGGAGAGAAAGTAACCATTGATGCAGAAGCCATCAACAGTCTCTTCAAAATCCATATTGAAGAAGGTTTTAATGCCTTGGTGGACCTACAAATGGTCACTCTCTCAGTTAAAGAGTTTGCCATGAACTATGGCAAACCAGATGCAGAAATCACCAGACTGACTGGAAAGAAGTATTTCCTAAAGAAGGACATCGAGATGTTGGTGGATATCCTCCATAAATGTGTCTGGTGCAGATATTCATCCACTGATGAGTTCACCATTTCCCAGGCCAAGGCAATCTATACAGTTCTACACAATGCAAATCTCAACCGGGGACAGGTTATTATCAGATCTCTGTTAGAGTTTGTCAAAGTGGCCAAGAAGAAAGATTCTCAAACTGGCATCTATTCTTGGAAAGTAGGACATGCCCTTCTAATCTCTGAACTACTATTGAAGGGAGTTGGCCTCAGAAAGCCAACCAAGGTTGATCACTCCAAGCTGATTTTCATGTCCAAAACCAGCAACAGAGATGCTGCCATCAAAGCTGAAATCAAAAGACTAAAGAAGTTTGATATCAATAGGCAAACTTCCAACAGAGGACCACCCAAAAGGTCTCTGTCACTGAATCAGAGGAAGATGAGCCTTTTGTGAGGAAGCCTGTGAAGCAGGCCGTCCAAAAGAAAGTTGTACCAGAGAAGGTACAGAAATTGGTGACAAAGAAGCATGTCACCAAGAGGAAGAAACCCTCTGTTATCTCTACAAAATCTACCCCCTCTGCCTCTCCCATTGCCAAAAGAAAGAAAATAATGACTCCTATCATTCAGGGGGAACTTGACAAGTCTATACCATCTGTACAACCTAAGAGAAATGCCTGGCAAGGTAAGAAGATAATTTTTGAGTCT